GCCCAAAACCGCATCAACAACGGTTTTGGAACAATACACTGTGTAAAGTGCTCCGTTGTTGCTAACGAAAGCAATGGGCGACCCCATGGTAAGTTGTCAGAACAGGTGGAGGTGAAGGTGACGCTAGAATTAATTGAGGGTACGTCTGCCGCGTAACCTACATAACATTTCACATAGGACGGTACCTTGTCAAACATAGGCTCATTAAACTTTCACAACCACACTTCTGAATTGTCTTGTCTTACCTACTTTTAACGTTGGGACAAATTGCAGGTTTTAGGCCAACGCGGAAATGGTTTTGCAGATGACATAATAAGCTCGCGTAAATTAAGAAGAATGTGTTTATGACCTGGTATGAAGAATCGACATTAAATGCAAATCTAGGTGACATTTACAACTACATGGCTTTAATTAAATAATCAAATATGTCACAAAAAAGGACGTCAATACCAAGCTCAGGACTTCAACTTACATTACCCCTATGTGAATGAAGACTGAGTAAAACATTTCAGTTTATCACAACAAATTTCTTCCTGCAATGTTACTTACTTTTACTTTATAATGTGTATCACAAAAGGCGTGTTGTGTTACTTAAACAGTGTGACACACAAGTGACAAACACAATGTTACTTAAATAGTGTGACACACAAGTTACAAACACAATGTTACTTAAACAGAATGACACACAAGTTACAGACAAAATGTTACTTAAACAGTGTGACACACAAGTTACAGACAAAATGTTACTTATATTGTGTGACAAAAGTGACAGGCGCTATGCTACTTGAACAGTGTGACACATAAGTGACAAACACAATGTTACTTAAATAGTGTGACACACAAGTTACAAACACAATGTTACTGAAACAGAATGACACACAAGTTACAGACTAAATGTTACTTAAACAGTGTGACACACATGTTACAGACAAAATGTTACTTATATAGTGTGACACACAAGTGACACACACAATGTTACTTAAACAGTGCGACACAAGTTACATACACTATGTTACTTAAACAGTGTGACACCCTTTACAGACACAATGTTACTTATATTGTGTGACACACAAGTTACAGACACTATGTTACTTATATAGTGTGACACAAATGACAGACGCAATGTTACTTAAACAGTGTGACCCACAAGTTACAGACACTATGTTACTTATATAGTGTGACAAACAAGTTACAGACACTATGTTACTTAAACAGTGTGACACCCGTTACAGACACAATGTTACTTATATAGTGCGACACAAGTTACATACACTATGTTACTTAAACAGTATGACACCCGTTACAGACACAATGTTACTTATATTGTGTGACACACAAGTTACAGACACTATGTTACTTATATAGTGTGACACACGTTACAGACACAATGTTACTTAAACAGAGTGACACACAAGTTACAGACAAAAAGCTACTTAAACAGTGTGACACACAAGTGACAAACACAATGATACTTAAACAGTGTGACACACAAGTGACAGACATGACACACAAGTTACAGACAAAATGTTACTTATATAGTGTGACACACAAGTGACACACACAATGTTACTTAAACAGTGCGACACAAGTTACATACACTATGTTACTTAAACAGTGTGACACACATGTTACAGACAAAATGTTACTTATATCGTGTGACACACAAGTGACAAACACAATGTTACTTAAATAGTGTGACACACAAGTTACAAACACAATGTTACTGAAACAGAATGACACACAAGTTACAGACACAATGTTACTTAAACAGTGACACACAAGTTACAGACACAATGTTACTTATATAGTGCGACACAAGTTACATACACTATGTTACTTAAACAGTATGACACCCGTTACAGACACAATGTTACTTATATTGTGTGACACACAAGTTACAGACACTATGTTACTTAAACAGAGTGACACACAAGTTACAGACAAAAAGCTACTTAAACAGTGTGACACACAAGTTACGTTACTTAAATAGTGTGACACACAAGTTACAAACACAATGTTACTTAAACAGAATGACACACAAGTTACAGACACAATGTTACTTATATAGTGTGACACACAAGAGACAAACACAATGTTACTTAAACAGTGTGACACTCAAGTTACAGACTCTATGTTACTTATATAGTGTGACACAAGAGCCAGACGCAATGATACTTAAACAGTGTGACACACAAGTGACAAACACAATGATACTTAAACAGTGTGACACACAAGTGACAAACACAATGTTACTCAAACAGTGTGACACGCAAGTGACAGACACAATGTTACTTATATAGTGCGACACAAGTTACATACACTATGTTACTTAAACAGTATGACACCCGTTACAGACACAATGTTACTTATATAGTGTGACACACAAGTTACAGACACTATGTTACTTAAACAGTGTGACACATAAGTGACAGACACAATGTTACTTATATAGTGTGACACAAGTGACAGACGCAATGTTACTTAAACAGTGTGACACACAAGTTACAGACACTATGTTACTTATATAGTGTGACACACAAGTTACAGACACTATGTTACTTAAACAGTGTGACACACAAGTGACAGACACTATGTTACTTATATAGTGTGACACAAGTTACAAACACCATGTTACTTATATAGTGTGACACAAGTTACAGACACAATGTTACTTATATAGTGTGACACAAATGACAGACGCAATGTTACTTAAACAGTGTGACACACAAGTGACAGACACAATGTTACATATATAGTGTGACACACAAGTTACAGACACAATGTTACTTATATAGTGTGACACACATGTTACAGACACTATGTTACTTAAACAGTGTGACACACAAGTGACAGACACTATGTTACTTATATAGTGTGACACAAGTTACAAACACCATGTTACTTATATAGTGTGACACAAGTTACAGACACAAAGTTACTTATATAGTGTGACACACATGTTACAGACACTATGTTACTTAAACAGTGTGACACACAAGTGACAGACACAATGTTACTTATATATTGTGACACACAAGTTACAGACACAATGTTACTTAAACAGTGTGCCACACAAGTGACAGACACAATGTTACTTATATAGTGTGACACAAATGACAGACGCAATGTTACTTAAACAGTGTGACACACAAGTTACAGATACTATGTTACTTATATAGTGTGACACACAAGTTACATACACTATGTTACTTATATAGTGCTACACTAGTTACATACACTATGTTACTTATATAGTGTGACACAAGTTACAAACACCATGTTACTTATATAGTGTGACACAAGTTACAGACACAATGTTACTTATATAGTGCGACACAAGTTACATACACTATGTTACTTAAACAGTGTGACACACAAGTGACAGACACATTGTTACTTATATAGTGTGACACAAGTTACAGACACCATGTTACTTATATAGTGTGACACACAAGTTACAGACCCTATGTTACTTAAACAGTGTGACACACAAGTGACAGACACTATGTTACTTATATAGTGTGACACACAAGTTACATACACTATGTTACTTATATAGTGTGACACAAGTAACATACACTATGCTACTTATATAGTGTGACACAAGTTACAGACACCATGTTACTTATATAGTGTGACACACAAGTTACAGACACAATGTTACTTATATAGTGTGACACAAGTTACAGACGCAATGCTACTTATATTGTGCGACACATAGATTATATACCTACATTGTTAACTAGAACAGTAGCCCGCAAGCTAACTGATACCCATGTTTCCAAATGACAAACGAACAACCATAAATACTTAAAACAACCAATATAAAGCAATTGACCAATAATCCAACGTTCCCTGCAGGTAGGGCGTAAGAATTGTACCTGCTGCCCCCAATTGCATGATCGTAAGAGGCGACTAAATTTGGGACCTTATCTCTTCTCTCCTTTCTAAATAACTTTCTTCTTCCTAATGTCTCCCTTGACAATGCCTCACTTTTGGCCATTTGTTGAGCGTTCGCCCCTGTGAGGAAGGCTTTGGGTTCTGTCCCCTGGCCGAGACATACCAAAGTCTTTAAAAATGGCAGTTTCTACGCCTGCTTAACGCTCAGCAAATTAGGAGTGGGACGACTGGTTCGCCCGTTGTCAGTATAATGTGACCGGGTGGGGCGTCCTGCTGGGTGTCTTCGGCAGTATGTTTCAGTGAGGTAGCACTATAAAGTCGGCATCAGTTCCGCGCTATCACAAGAAGACAAACATGAACATATCGCAGCCTCCCAAAATACACACACATACACTACACGCATGCATCATCTTGCACACAGGGGAGGCCGTCCTTAAATGACCTTAGCTGTTAATAGGACGTTAAACAAAATGTGTGAACGGAAACCAGAAAGGGGACATAACTCAAATAAAAAGATCAGGGTAGCTTTTGTTTATCACGATCCAAACGGTTGAACCGGTTTGACCAGAGTTGTTCGTGTATGAAATAAGGTCGGGCCTAGTCATTTGATGCTATTTTCAGGCGAGCCTTGGTTAAAGCCTTACAAGGCCTCCATATACTCGAAAATGGAACATTTAAAAGAAATTGGACAAAAGATGATTTTGGCATTACAGCAATACTTATACATTTCGGTGAGGTTCCAGTACACGTGGTCGCAGACGATGTAAATATAGATCTAGATCATGGATATAGTTTCTGACTGTATACTCGCCTAGGGATATAAGATTACTTTACCAAAAATACGTGATTCCATTATCTTTGTTCATTTGATTAAATACACGTATATGCACATATACCGGTACTTTGCCATGTGGTTGCGATGTTCTGTTTCCTGTGCTGACAAAGAGAATTATAAGTTTGCTAGAGAAAGATTAGTTAGATTACGTTGTTTCTTTTGGGATTCAGTTGAATTTTTGTCCAGCAGCTCTCATAAGCGTGTGTATCTTCCACATTACGTGTTCAATGCAAAAAAGTAGATGTTTTTAAAGAAATTAACTTACTAGACATGGTTGGTTTCCATGGCAACGATGGATTCCAAGGCGTGACCGAGCGGGAGGTGGGGAGGGAGCCGAGAGTCACCATGACAACAATCCAAATTAGAGATGTCAATGTCATCTTAAGATGTACGGTGTGTCTGAAAAAAACCACAAATATATATATATAATGTAAACTGATGGCACAGGCGTCGTTTCTGGAATGCATAAAAACTCTACGCTGCGATCCCTAATAAAATTAACTTACACAAACCGTTCGTGTCCTTGCTATAGTATTATAGCAGATCCGATAAGTTGACGTTTGACCTCATATCCATGGCAAGTTCTGTAATTCTCAAGGAAGCTCACTTAGTGCATAATATATTTCATCTATTTCAACCATGGTTGTTGTTATAACGACTCGGCACATTGCAGTCTTCTGTATACACACACACACACATTACACATAGTTTTATGCAATATTGAACGTGCGCATGAATTTTAACTAGGGGATAATCACATTTCTTCATTCTATCATTGGTATCCGGCACGCAATGCCCCGTCGCGCATGCGCAATGTACATTATCGACAGTCAAAAAAGGGCGTCACATTTCTGACTAAGGTCTGGCGATGTTTACGATATTGCTAAACACACCAACGCCGATTCATTTTAATCAGCTATTCATGCTATGTAAATTCTATATTTCCAATATTTCCTAAGTTGTGGTATTCACAATAGGAAGTGATGTATTGGGTTTGGTTTTATTTTGTTTAACGTCCTATCAGCAGCTAAGGTCATTTAAAGATGTATACCCCCATGTATGTTGTGCAAGCGTGTATGTTGTGCAGGCGTGCATGTTAGTATGTTGTGCAACCATGCATGTGTGTATGTGTGCAAGAGACATGGTAGGTTGGTTGTGATGTAGTAGTTTGATACGTGTACAAACCTTGATATCTAGTCTCGTTCAAACAGACTCTTGGTAATCACAAGTGATCAAGCATCTGGTTGAACGAGACTACCTTGAAATCCTGTTAAAAAATTATCCAGTGTTTCTTCTGGTAATAATTATATTATTATCAGTATCTCTGTTATTTATATATCACTTTTCATCCCAGCATATAAATGTAATACTTTGACGTCATTCTTATCGATACAATTCTAAATTTTGTCGATAAATATTGTTTCGAACAATTAACTCGTTATAGATAGGATTATATGAAACGGGTTATTATATAATTATTACCAATACAAGCGTTACATAATCCGCTGCAGTTGTTAATTAACATAGAATCTAATGGGAAAATGAGGTAACGTGAAAATCTAACGGTACGTCACTTTATAGTTTAAACAAATTGCCGATACAAAGTCAAATTGGTAACATCTATATTTGATGAAGCCCGCTATATGAAAACATGACCCCGACATTTCAGTCACAGCTCGCGCGGTTATTGACGTTGCATGTTGTTGATCCTGAGTGGATGTAAAATACCGGTAGCATCCAAGTGAACACAAACATTCCTCTCATTTCAACGTAAAGGCATGTCATTAAGGTTAAAGTCCTCCCGAGAATACCTTGTTGCCAAGCCAATCATTTCGTTTGCGTCAACACTAATGTTGCGTTGGAGTGTGTTTATATTAAGTACAGCTGTACTGGCCTTCTATTATTAATACTGACCACAAACTCTGACAGAAACAATAACCAACGCTAACCACCAACGATAGATGTGCTTTGCTTGTTTATAGAACTTCATGCACCTATGCCACACACACGTGATGCGGTGTTTATTATCCGCATAGCGGGACATTTAGGTATATCTAAAGTGTACAAATACTTTTAAAAAATAAGTACGTATACACATGTTTGTGCATCTTAATGTAAAGTGAAAAAGGACTCCTCGAATTCGAATAATTTTAGGATGCGTCACGTCGGAGCTCTGATAAAGAACACAACAGCTTCCTGCGTCAAGTCGAGCAAATGACAAGTGAATCTAAGGGGCGGTGTAGGGACGCGGGGTGGGGGTAAGCTTGGGGGAGTTGGGGTCTCTTAAGTACGGGCCCCCACCCCCATCCCGATTTTATCAACGAAAACATTAGAAAAATAATCCAAACTAGAGAAATGTCAAACATTTATTATGTGGGAAAACCCCCAGCACCAAAACTAGAATTGTGAAGATGGTATGACACCACCTAATGCAATTACTTTACTCACCTTTCAGATGTTCTTTGAGATATTATAAGTTCGTGTACATTAACTTAACTCCGGTATCAGTAGCCGACCCATTTCCAAAAATAGTAGGAGTTTGAACATCAGAATGTAATCTAAATATTACACAGTATGCTAAAGTCCTCGCAAGCGACAGATCTACATCCGCTGTTTGAAGCAAATCCGAATGAAACCCTTGCGTTGTCACATGGGTCCCTATTTAATGTCCACAAGATGGCGCTTTATTCACATGACCAAAGAAATCCAATTTGAAATTCAAGATCAAAATCATTTTGAAAGAAGTAATCATCTGTTAAATATCCGGTATGAGATCTGACCCACTGCTGGTACATAAGTATTCTGTCGTTATAGATAAAGATGGTTTATATAACTACCGGATGTCGGGGCTTTGAATTTCGATAAAATTTGGAATGTTCATTTGTCGATTAGTGAGTTTTTGCTTCTCATTTCATACACCATTGCACACCATGTTACCTGACATTATAACGAATCGTTTACCACGTCAGACAGGAGAACGTTTATACATTAGCAAAGTTTTACATTAAATATCACTTTTACTGCAGATATGCCGGTAGTAGTACTTACATGTAAGGAGGTATGCTCCATTAGACATTACATCCGGGACTATTCTAAGAGTTATCTCCCTTTATTTTTAAACCTAACTTTTACTTCAAAATTATGCAGGTGTAAGCAAAGAATAATATATCACGTTAATCTTTTATTTGCGCCTTTCATTCATTTTCAAGTTTAAATCACTATTAAATCATAATTCATATCATTATTTAGTCCGAATTTTTCTGACGTTTTAACGACTTTTTTCATATCGGTCTGTCGTCGATTAACGTCAGAACTCCGCCCCTCTATAATATGCGGGAAATATGCGACCCGCGCCCGGAGCGCACTTCAAACTGATATTTTAGAAACAAATCGTCACTTTCACACACATGTCGCACATGATTCATGTATCGGTGTTTAAGTGTTGAACTGCTTTGGGAAGGAGAAACATATCCTTACTTAAGTTAAGGATCCCAGTACCACTGCCAAAAACTGTAACTAAGCGTTGGATGGATCTTTTCCGGCATGTCTTTATATAGCTTTGAAGAAATCATTTTTTGAAAAAAACAACCTTACGAGACTTTTATGAAGAAATAAACCGAACAAAACAACGACAGTAGTAGACTAAGTGTAAAAAATCATCAGGGCTAGACCAGGATTCAAACCCTGGGCCTTAAATTATTATACTGTTTCTCTTATGTTTTGCACGCAGCGAGTCAGAGATCCTCAAGTGACTTGCAGAAATATTTACCTGTGCTATAACCAAGACAATAATCATCCGGAAATGGTATTTTGTATGTTTCCTGAATTAGATCTCTTTCACAACAGAGACGCCATATGACAATCAGGAACCGTCGGCACTTTCCGTAAACGAGAAAATATTTTCCCGATTGGCCATCATGGTTAAGATAATAAATCCCTATGCGTGAACGACACAGGGATAAACCGCACACCCGCCATATGAGATCGGATTAATCTGAGCTCATGGCTCTAAGTACAAGTTTGAGAGATATCCATGTTTCAAAGCAATCGGCCTTTCAGACCAAGGCCGTTCCTGACAAGGTAAAGCCCAATTCAGCTGTCCTTTATCCGAGACTGAATGCAGTGTCCGACCTGGTAAGACCAGTTAATCCTGTTACGTAATATAATTAAGTTAAAAGGTATATGGTACACGATGGATATAGTTAATGCATGAGTTAATCTGACAACAATGATTCAAACGAATAATACATGTCGACTTGAAAGAATGAGCTTCGTAAATAGATATTATCTAAATTGAGACAAGTAACGGGGAAATAAGGGGAGCTAATGATTCAAACAATTTACAAAAATAGTTCCTGCATATGCGAATTATGTCACTCGGTGAAATAAATAAAATGAAAGTTAAAAAGGTTTTTAGTTTAAAATATGCCAAATAATGAATATACCGATATATTTAATTAAAATTTAAAATTCAACACTTTTATCGTAAAATTCTTTATGATAGCTCTGTCGAATACGGGATAAATCGCACACCCATTACATAAGCAAGGATTAATCTGAACAAGAAAAGATATTAAAGTTTTGACCACGTGACAGTGTATGTGTGTTACTGATACGTGTCGACTATAATAAGGTTTAAAAACACCCACTAGAATATATTACATAATCTTTGATAGATATGACGTACGTCTTCTCGGTCAAGTTTAGATACGCATGTCGTCACGTGATAGGGAAGCATGTTTACTTCTCCATTTCTTACTAACACCAATAATCTGATAGGTGTAACACTATGATATCAGCTTTACAATTCTCCTTCACAACGGAGTATACACCCTAACCTTTGTACCACCAAGAGCGTCTGGTATTGACCATCAGACCGCACATTACGTAACGTTTGGTACTGACCATCGTGTCGCACGACAGTCCGGCTCATCATACGTCACGAGCGTCCAGTACTAGCAATCGTACTGCACGAGCGGCCAGTTAACATACAACACGAGCGCCCGGTAATAACCGACAAATGCTTAGCGTTTTCAGAAATGATCAGGAGATAATATTTATTAATATTATATATATATATATCTTCCCACCACATGTGTCCATTACTGACTGTAATGCTAACAACCTCTAGACTACTGATGGACATACACGCTAATAAAAAACGAATACACACGAAAGTGTTTATTATGATTGACAGTAGAACATAAGAGGTGTCAGTTTCACACTTGTGGTACTACTTGATAAAGCGAACGCCGTTATGCTAAGTGTATTTTGTCAGATAATCCTAAAACTGTCCACGGATGTCATAAAGAGGGGTTTATTGGACGTCACGCCAACCCACACCGACCGATAAGTCCTAGGCAACGGACAGACGGGACGAAATATGCCTGGCTGCAAAAGATCATACTGTATGCACCATAAAGTGTGTACTTTAGAAAAAGTGGTAGTCAATAGTCAGCCACTCCCTACCCCCCCCCCCCCCCCCCCCCCC